TTTATTGCTGTAGGTGATTTATTTTATGTATTTGTATGGCCTATGCCAGGGTTTTAGTCCCGTAGAAGGTTTCCCTGGCATGGTCTTGTGTGTGCGTTAATATATTTATTTGATCTTGTCATTTCTTACGCACAAAAGTTCTGTCTTTTATTTAATTCCCTTCCCGATTATGTCTCACGTCCCAACACATAAAAGAACCGATTACACAACGTAGGAGTCCATTCGTGCCACCCATATCGAGCCGACTGTCATCCAAATTCAAAAGTGCCGCGAGACTACCATCGTTTCGACTTGAAAGGTAGGTGGCTCTGCTTGTAGTTTTTGCCAGAGTTGCCAACCGTAAGTATAGGGTAAGTTAACGTTTTCCGTGTCGGCTTGATAGACCCCCCTAGGAACATTACACACTTTACTCGCTGAAAATGTTATTGTCTCTATAATAAAGATTCTGAATTATACTTGAGTCCACGGACTAATAGTTGAAAAACTTATGTGAAGTTCTTTTGCTACCAAGAAAACATATTAGACGAGGAGGTCTTTTTCCATCACCAAGAGGCCTATTTCAACCTTTTACTTCATTGGTTTAACATCTATTGTCGCTTTCGGTCGCCTACATTGTTTGACTTCGTGTCCTTCCAATCTCGGCTTTCGACACTTACTCGAAGTGTGGCTCGTTTCGTTGCAATTATAACATCGCGTGATACGAGCTCGTTTAGCCGTATCTGGTACATATGTACTTGATGGTTTCGAGCACTCCTTTGTTCCCAATCGTTTATGGTCAAATCCTCTGTTATCATCTTGATTCGATCTTCGGATAGATTTCGATCGCTTCGATGCCGATTACCCATCGTATTGAAGTAAGTGTTCATTTATGTATCGAAATTATTTTATATCGTAATGCTGGGCGAAGTACAGGCGTACTAACCGGAAAACGGTTAAACTATCCATTATTATTGGTTTTGCTCGTCATGGCACCTTACAATGAATTTAAAAAGCACCCACGACAATAATTTCGTCGAAATGGTGGCACAGTTTCCCCTTGGAATTAGGTAATTAACTTCAACTTTCGCAATAAAAGATCACATACGATTACTTCTTTCGTATACTTCGATTATAAGGCTGCGTCTCGAACCTTCAATTGAAAATAAAATTCTACGCGATTTAAAAATGACGCACCCAATCTAAGTGGCTCGAAGGCTCGACGAAAAATTCCTCTCTCCCATCCACCCTTATGTCCTCACCGAGTATGTGATATTTTATTGTTAATTACCGAATTACGAGGGGAAACTGTGTCGTCATTTCGACAAAATTATTGTCGTGGGTGCTTTTTAAATTCATTGTGATGTGCCATGACGAGCAAAACTAATAAGAATGGACGGTTTAACCGTTTTTCGGTTAGGAAACGAGTTTTTGTTGCTTGATACGGCTCTGCATAAACGTGGAGGCAACGCCTGTACTTCGCCCAGCATTACATCAAATCTTTCGACATAAATGAACACTTATTTCAATACGATGGGTAATCGACATCGAAGCGATCGAAATCTATCGCAAGATCGAATCAAGCTGATAACAGAGGATTTGACCGTAAACGATTGCGAACAAAGGAATGCTCGAAACCACCAAGTACTTATGTACCAGATACGACTAAACGTGCTCGTACCATGCGATGTTATAATTGCCATGAAACGAGCCACACTTCGAGTAAGTGTCGAAAGCCGAGATTGGAAGGACACGAAGTCAAACAATGTAGGCGACCGAAAGCGACAATAGATGTTAAACCAATGAAGTAAAAGGTTGAAATAGGCCTCTTGGTGATGGAAAAAGACCTCCTCGTCTAATATGTTTTCTTGGTAGCAAAAGAACTTCACATAAGTTTTTCAACTATTAGTCCGTGGACTCAAGTATAATTCAGAATCTTTATTATAGAGACAATAACATTTTCAGCGAGTAAAGTGCGTGCAATTTGCAGCAATTAAATTACTTGAACAAACGATGTGGCAGACACATTCACCAATAATACGCTATTACGCGATAATACTAAAGCCAAAACAGAATATAATAAAAAATTCCATCAAGTGCTCCTAAAGAGAGCGCCACCACTTCTTCCTGCTTGCGAAGTAATTCCTCTTTTTTTAGTCTTCGTAGAATTTTCGATCGTTGTCGGGCAGCTTTCAAGCATGACAACGCCGCTTGTCGGTCAAACCGCATCGAGATTAATGTTTAAACTGTCGATAATGAAGTTACCTTCCCACAGCCCGCAAAGTCCAAGCCATCAAAGGGAGGTAAAATGTGATTATGCCAATGAAGTAATTTGGAGTAGGTAATCGTAAATTTCAGTGCCTGTGCGTGTAAAAGTGTTTTCAAATAGGAATAACGATTGAGAAATTTTGACGTGCAGACAACGCTCCAGTAACACACGAAGGATTGCGAGATTGGATATGGGACACGATTTTAACTAGACAGCTTCTGTGTATTGTCGCATGTTCGAACAATCTCTTGGCCCATGCCAACTCACGCTTGCTGCACTAGATTCGAAACAAAGTTGGAATGATCAAAGCCTCTAGCAGCTCATTTAGATTATGAATAGGTGGCCTTCTTGAGGAGAGGTCATGAGACGCATTAGGTTTTGACACGTACGCTTGTTTGTATGTGCACCACTGTAATATAATGTAGCCAACAGAATTAGAACTTTAGCCTTGAAAGATTCGGTAATTGCGGTCCGGTGCTGTCCAAATAGAGGTGATTCCAAAAGCCTTACAACACAAATTCACCCGAAGCTCCGTTTATGAAATATGTCGCAAAACGTACCAAGCTAGAGTAAACTCAGTGCACAACCGCACACAATTCCAAGCTTCCAATTCAACCCATTACTGCCCCACACACCCCGCCCAATTTCCAATGCCGGAGCACCATGGCCATTTTCGCTCTGGGCGGAGACTCACCCCACACCCACCACCCACTGTCCATGACGTCCGTAGATACACTCGTGACTCATAACGAAGATCGTCCATGTGGGTCGCGAGAAAAACCTAGTTGTCCATTATGTACACTAATCTTGGACGTAATTCTTTTGGATGTGTTGTTTAAGGAAAGCATTTAAATTTAACCCGGGCGATGCTAATTTGTAAAAAGGTCTTGCGATTAAATTCATTGGAGCAAATATATGGCGAAAGGAGAGTAGAACCGAATTCTAGTGGGACATTTCGTGATAATCTCTGATAGGTAGACGTGGAATTGTGTCAGTGATCTCATGAATCACTGCTTTGCACATGAATTCTGTTTTTGGGATTCCCTTTCCGCATAGTTTTGAAACATCAATGGCGGATTTGCGGTAAATAAGACGATTTGCACTCTTCATTTCCTTGTCGATCACCAAAATCGCCAATTATGTAAAGCCATAAGCTCCATAAGTAAAACAAAAAAATCATTTGTCAAACGACGCGCCGAACGTGATCGGTGATAAGAAGTAATCTTTTCCACTGACAGTTAAAGACACATTCACGAACCTATGACAACCTAAATACCTAATACAGTTTTTTAAAAGAATCCAAATTTGTGGCTTCAATTACGAAATTGTTGGAAACCTTTCTCTTTCATCAGGGCAAAGCTAGAGCGTGGAGAAGGTGTGGGATGACTAAATATTATGAACAATCCTTGGAATTTTTAATTGAACGTAACATGGTCACTACTTTCGTTGAAAACATAGTAAAGGCTGTTTCCAAAATCGTTTGGATCACTTTTTCTGGTACACAACCTTCGAAGAGGGCTGATTAATTTTCAAGTGAAAATAGTGACTTATGGTACTTAGAGAGGATAACAAAAATGACACCATGATGCAAACGATTGTAACTTTCATTGTCCGATGTTTACTTCTATTAGGACCAGCCCTCAAACTGGAATCGGTTAGGTGCTGAGTGTCGATTGAATGTAACAATTACATACTTATTTGTTTAGTGAGTAAACATGATACGCTAAATGTGTTTGTCTCGCGTAGCACTTTACGACATAATCATTCGCCATTGGAGTTACAGTTCATATTTTGGCTCAGTAAAGTGCTTTTTTTTCATGAACGCGCCACGTGCGGCAATGGAACATGGCATTAGGAATGCGATGCGATGACGTGCCAGAGCGGATAAGAAAATAAAGGGTAGCTCATCTAGGTGCCCATTTTAACAATCCACTTAATAACAGATGAATAGTTTTCATATGCGCAATTTTCTTAGGTAGCTGTCAAAGTTTCACAGGAAACTAAATCCTAATAGCGAAAAACGA